CTTGTCATGCTGCTCTTTAGGTCGGACCACTTGGACTCTGTCTGGATATTCGGACGCACCGTGCACAACTTCATGCTGCAATCCGAATGGCTTCGAAGCGGACTGGTGCTTCGTCGAGGACGAGACGTGTCAGTCGTCCAGCTGGGGCTATTGTGCTCCAGTCACGGAGCAGGGATGCGCATGCAGACAGTCGTGGACATATGGTAGCTCTGCTTGCTCATCGCACTGCTGCAATCCGGACAATGACGTTCGGGGAGACTGGTGCTACGTACTGCAAGCGAGTTGTCAGGGAGCCTCGTGGGGATACTGCTCGGCAGCAGGGTCTTCTACTTCCACGACCACGACCCAGCCGGACCTGGTACGGCTCACAACCGCTGGCTGCGAATGCTTACGGACCTGGGCGTTTGCCGAGCATGAGGCATGTTTTGAGTACTGCTGCAATCCGGATGGCGATGCTTCGGAGTGGTGCTTCGTTGTCAGCGAAAGCTGCCAGGGCTCAACCTGGGGATATTGCGCAGGGCCGACAGGGGAGGAGTTCACAACGACCACCTCTGGGACTCCGGCAGATATCCCTTTCACCGTCAGGGGCTGTTCTTGCCTGCAGTTCTGGTCTCTGACCGGAGCAATTCCATGTTCTACGTATTGCTGCAACCCGGACGGTGACACGAGTCCTTGGTGCTTTGTGGCTGACACCACATGCGAGGGTGCTAATTGGGGTTATTGCTCGAGCAATGCAACTATCCCACACACTCCTACAACAAGCACAACATCCGGGCCGCTGCAGCGATTCACAGTGGAGGGTTGCCATTGTCAAAACTTGTGGACCCTGCCTGGCCATGCTCCCTGCTCAACGTCTTGCTGCAATCCCAACAACGACACGAGGGACTGGTGTTTGGTTTGGGATCAAAACTGCCAAGGCTCATCATGGGGCTACTGCGACGGAAGCCAGGCCACAACTTCTGCATCACTTCCGCCCAGGAGCAGCACGGAAGGATGCGCCTGCATGCAGTTCTGGTCTTGGGCAAACCATGATCCATGCTTGTCGCATTGCTGCAATCCTGATGGCGACGTGGCGGACTGGTGCATGGTTGTTGATGAAGTGTGCCAGGGCTCAAGCTGGGGGTATTGTGCACCAGACACGACTTCTCTTGAAGGCAGCACGACATCAGTGCATCCTGCTGCAAGCAGAGCCACTACCGCAGGATGTGCCTGCCAGACAGATTGGGTTTGGCAAGGAGCGTACTGCTTGCAGTCATGCTGCAATCCTGATGGCGACGTGGCAGACTGGTGTTTTGTGATGGATAGTCTCTGCGAGGGTGGCAGCTGGGGGTACTGCGCGCAGGATCTACAGGCTGCTGCCGGCACATCCACAACTACGATGGCAGGTCCGACGGCAACGACGACAATGATCGCGATGTTGACTGGCACACAAACGACGACCTCGTCCAGCGTCACCTTGTCGGTTACATCAGAGACTGCAACGAGCCGCAGCTCCACCGGAACATCGAGTGTCACGTCAAGTGCGACTAGGACTGCAGACACCACCGAAACATCTAGCCTCACATCGAGTGCGACGAGCACCGCAACGACTCGCAGCTCCACCGGAACATCGAGTGTCACGTCAAGTGCGACTAGGACTGCAGACACCACCGAAACATCTAGCATCACATCGAGTGCGACGACCACCGCAACGACTCGCAGCTCCACCGGAACATCGAGTGTCACGTCAAGTGCGACTAGGACTGCAGACACCACCGAAACATCTAGCCTCACATCGAGTGCGACGACCACCGCAACGACTCGCAGCTCCACCGGAACATCGAGTGTCACGTCAAGTGCGACTAGGACTGCAGACACCACCGAAACATCTAGCCTCACATCGAGTGCGACGAGCACCGCAACGACTCGCAGCTCCACCGGAACATCGAGCATCACCTCGAGTGCAACGACCACCGAAGCATCAAGACTCATGCCGAGTGTGACTAGCACTGCAACGACCGTCAGCTCCACTGAATCGTCGAGCTTTAGGTCCAGCGCAACTCGCCCAGCTTCGTGGACATCAAGCACGTCAAGCATAGTCACCTCAAGCGATTTGGACAAAGTGAGCTCCACAGCTTCAGCGTCTTCATTGAGTGCGAGCAGCAGCCCGCTCGTGACAGTTGGCCTTGACCTTCCTTCAACCACGTTCCGATCCGAAGCCCGCATCACGGGTTCAATGATGCTATCGCTGCCAGATTGCGGCAGCTTCGTCAGCGAGCCCGGCAGTCAGGCAGCCGTGGAGGAAGCACTGGCCACGGTAGCGGGCACTCCGAAATCAGACGTCCCTGCCTCGGAATTGCTGTCTCCACAAAACTTGCTGATAAAGCTGCTTCGACCATGTTTGATTTTTCTCTTTGCTCTCAGGTGAGCACGGTGTTGAGTTGTGCACGTCGTCTGAAGCAAGCAGCGCGCCGCTTGCAAGAAATCGTCAGCGTTCTTTACAGCATTGGCCTGGAAAGCTCGGAGGCCTCGGAGGAGGTTGCCTCGGGGCCGCTGGCCGCCCTGCAAAGCCTCACTGCGGGGACCATGACCGCCGTGCTGCAAAGCTCTTTGGCCACCGTCAACATCACAGTCCAAGTTGCTGTGGTCAGCGTGATCCTGAGTGTGACCGCAAGCGTACCACAGCTCTCGCACCCTCGCACTTTCTTCATGCTGCTCACATCTAGTTGTCCGATCCTACAGCTTCATGACCATTATTTTGAGCAACGCGGAACGAACATGGAGTGTAGACCGTGGTGTTTTCGGGTAGAGCGTACTATGGTACAGCAGATCAGCAGACAACACTAGGCCGCGGTACTGTATACATCAACTCTGTCTCGTCCGGTAATTATGCCTTGCAGTGGGTACAGTCCGCTGCAGGCGTGACCGCACCGCAGCTGGAAGTGCCTGAAACCGCGAGCAAAGACACCGCGTGGTTGTCATCCGCTTACTCCAAGGTGAGGGGTGTTGGGGGTTTTCGTTTGCGGTTAGCAGCAGGCTGGCTGCTGAAAGTCTCGACGGCTGTGGGTCTGATTTGAGGGCACGGCTGCAGGTGTTTCCGTTCATGAAGGCTGACGGTCTCATGGCCCGGGTTTGCGGCTTTGGAACTGAATTGCAGGTCCTGCGCTTAGACATCGTTTGGGCGCTGCTCGCAGTCTTCAGCAGAGCTTGCTGAATCCTGGGTCTCTTTGCAGGGAAGCCACAGGCTTCACCTGTTTTTCGGTTACTGCCAGCTGAGCCAGGAACCTATCTGGGAAGCTGTGCAGAAGCCCTTTGCCCATTTTTGCTAGGTTGACTGTGGGAATGTCGGAATGTGGGTACTTGCCACAGAGCGCTTTAAGAGGCTCGAGGCGACAGCCCCATCCACTCCCGTCTGGCCGACTGTAAAGCTGGAGAGAGCAGCTCAAAATCTTGCAAACTCGAGATCAAACCCGACAGACGCCGGAGCCACGACTTTTGTCTGGACTGGCCTTGGCCCTGCCTGAATCGAGGAAGATCGGTGATGCCATTGAAGTGAAGGGTCCGGTCGGGGATTTCGTCTACAAGGGTGGCCAGCTCATTTCACTGATGCAAGTCTTGTTTCTGCAGAGGGCTCCTTGTCGGGCTCTTCAACCGACAAAATCACAAATTCCTGAAGAGGCCGCGGCCGCTTCACCTGGCGTGGGCAGCGTCCTGGCTTCAAGGAACCCCGTGACCAACCCCGATCCGAATCGCGGCGCGACTTTGCGAAAGATTCACTGGCTTGTGAGCGTCTTATGCGTCTTGACCGAGTCGCTGCTCAGGCCCGGCTTCTGCAAGGAGATCTCGATGATTGCAGGTGGAACCGGGCTGACGCCCTGCTGGCAGGACGGGTGAGGGCCCTTTGCGTGAGGAGGTGGGGAATCTTTGTCCGCCTCTGCAGGTGCTGTCGGCCATCATGCGGGATCTCAAGGACAGCACAAAGGCTCCTGGGCACACACGTCTCGCGGAAGAGCACCCGTGAATACTCGTGCTGTGTGAGTTGACAAGCGCCTTGCAACCACGGCTTGTGCTTCGTTGCACGCTGTGGTGAGTTTCAGGTTCGTCTACTGTATGCGAGCAAGTCCCCTGGCGACATCCTGGCCCGCGAGATGCTGGACCGTAAGATCGGGGCCTAGCGCGTATTCGCGGGATGCGCCACTGTCGCTAACTTGCGGCAGCACCAAAGCCAGGAGAAGCTGGCTGCGGAGAATCCGCAGCGGTTTTCCCTGCATCTGACTGTGGACAAGGTCGACGGGGGTGAGCCGCGCCTCGGTCGCCATTGCCTGCTGCACCGGCGCAGCTCACTTCACGGATCCATAACGATTGAACAGCATGCGAGGTGGAAGGGCCATGTGGGCCACGTGAATGCTGAGATGGCTAAAGCATCCCTCTTCAAGGCTTCTGGACATGCTGCCCACTTTGCTGAAATTTGTTTTGCCAAGCTTGCTGGGTTTGCGATGCCTCGGATTGTCCGTTCAGGCAGGACAGGAGACCATTTGTGCAATGTGCGGGCCGCCAGTGATGCTGGAGAAGGCACATGCTTGTTCTCTGCCAGCGATCGAGCCATAGTAAGCCCAGCGCGCATGACAAGTAAGCCCATGACCTGCGAGAGCTTGCGCCCTCTCGCGATGCCGCCTTGGAAGGCGTGTCATCCTGCTCTGGCAGAAATGGGCTACAGGAAGAAGAACATCTTTGAGTTCTGAAATATGCAAGCGGAGCTTGCATGCTTGTTGGGCTCTGGAACCTTGTGCAGTGGCAGGGCGTTGCATCTCCGCTGATGCAGAATGTGGCGCTCGTGTCGTCGAGAAATACTCCCTTTCGGAGACTGGGGGTACGGATGCGTACAGTAGGGCAGATCACTTCACTTCAAGGAGGGTTCCCAGCCAAGAGAGCAGGACGTGGCAAGGGTTGCTTTTGGAAAGCGGCGATCTGCTGTACAGCAGCGACCCGCACCCTCCTGAAGCATACAGTGTAAAGCGAACATGCGGCCCTATGATGCAAGTGCTGTACAGCAGACAGCGAGAATTCGCCTGGCCAATCTGCTGCCTTTTGTCCAGAGGTTGAGCCTTTTAACGGCCCAGGAGGTTGTACAGTGGCAGAGGTCACGAAGCGACGTCTCAGGAGCCTTGCCAGCCCAATGGCAGCAATGTCCAAAAGAAGCACTGAAATGGTGGTTGGGTCGTGTCTAGTATAGTCGTACATTCTGGGCATTCGAGTACAAAATGCATCGACAGCAGAGGTCCAGTGCCCGTTTCGCCCGAATTTGGCCCCCAGACGTTTCAGTCCTTCGGGCCATTGAGCTCCCGTTCAAAAGCAGCTGCAACCGAAGGAGCGATCGAGCCTTTTGCCAAGCTGGCAATACCGATCAAACAGATGATAAACACATTGCATTTGGGATATATGATATCTTGTAGATTCTGCCGTAGATTCTGCCGGGAGAGGGGGCATCCGGCTGGCGCTCTGGACATTCCCAATGGCGAGCATGGTGGAGCAAAGCGATTCTCGGCCCGATATGCAACTCATGGTATCTTAGTCTCCTGTATGCTGCGAAGCGAATGGAAGCCGGAAAGCTCGTCCATGCAGCCCGAGCACCCTTGACACTGAGGGGACACGGTGGCACAACAAGGAGCACCCACCCTCGGAAGCGGATATCCCGTGCTTCGAGCGACAGGCGCGGATCGGCACATCGCGACTACAGCTTGTGCAGATCACAGGCAAGTAAAATCGCACTCAGACTCGTACTCAGAGAGCTACGCTTCATGATAGTCGCGCCGGCAGAAGTGGTAGTGCGAGAAAGTGCAACTTGACACATCGCCGATATTGCAGATGGTGCAACAATGTTACCTTGTCGATACCTGATTCAGGTGACTCAACGAAAACAGCAAGAGCAATGCTACGGTAGCATTCATCACTGACACCACCATGGCCACCGCGCCGGCCGCCAGCAGCACCAGCACCAGCGTGTCACCCGCTTGTATGGGAGGCTACAAACCTCTCTGCGAGCACCTGTGCGACAAAGGCAGGGACTCACTCGGCTTCAGTTGTGACAGGAAGGGGTCTTTCTGTGCTGCCTGCGACTTGTCAGGCGGAGCGTCCGGATGGCTGGGTGAGCTTGTTGGGGCTGGACAGGGTCTGCAGACTAAACCCCGCAGAGCTGTGAAGTTGGGTTTAGGATGAATGCCTGAGCAGCTTGTGGTTCGGTGTTGCGAGTTGAAATTGCTGGATGTAATGTAGCCTGAGGGCGATCAGTTTGTGGAGCGCCATCATCGGCATTGCCCGGCATTCAAGCTCTCCGTACACTGCCAAGGTCGCCAACTTCCGCGATCTTGCGGGACCTGACCCTTGTCAAAAGCTTTGGCTGATGTACTTCCGGTTTTCTTCCCGGAGAGTTGTGCCAAACTGAAGCTTCTGCGATTCGGGCAGCTAGGCGAGGTGAGGATGCAACACAATCCGAGGATGCCTCTGCGCCCTATCGTTGCAAGGCCTGGCTGCGGCTGCTGCGGCTTTGTATGCTTAGGGAAGGATCCGGACATGTTTCCGACATGATCCGTCACCGTGCAGGGCTTGCTGTGCGTTTGCATGCACAATTTATGCATATGCTTATACCTTGTCGTAGCTATAGCACGTGTCTGAGCTTTCGGAGTCCACAAGTTCTCCCAGGGTGGCCGACTTGCTCGCGGCAAAGTCTACCGCACTGGCTGGGCACCTGAGTGCAAGCTGCCATCGGCTTGTCGGCGCAGAAGAGTAGGAGTTAGTGCAGTGCAGTCTGGTGCAGTACTTTGCTGCCCGACCCACAGATGTCATTTGCTTGGCGTCCAGGCCACTGGGTCACTGCCACACCCACCGACCTGTCAATGATCCGCGACACGCTGGGCATTTGTACCTACCTTGACCTTCGCAATGGCCAGGACCGATCTAGGGTGTCGCATGCCACAGCTTTGTTGAAAGTTCTCTGGGTGAAGCCTTCCTCTGCATTCTGCGAGTACAGGACTTTGAAAGTGTCGATGCGTGCTCCTCTCAGAGTGTTGTTGGAACTCACTCCGAGCCCGTCACAGTGCAGCGGGTGTTTGCCCAATCAGACCCCAGCCGTCACAGTGCCGTGGCACTGTAAGCAGCTCAAAGCCAAAACATGCCAAATCTTCTCCCTGGCACGTACGACGTACACACTTCGCAGATATCTATCTGCAGGGAGTGCTTCGACGACTACCCGCCCAGCCCAAATGGGCGGCACGAGGCCAGTGTTCCGCGAGGCGGCAGCCGAACTTGTACTTGGGCAACTCTGGGGTCGTCATGAGTCTTAAGTTATGGGGGTCACACATCAAGCATCGCCTTCCGAGATGCGGGAGAACGTCGCCGGCTGAGCTGTCCCTTCTCCAAGGCCGGTTCCCGAAACTTCTGAGCCGCAAACTGACCAGAGTTTGAGCGGAGTTGCGCAGGGTCTCGGCGCACGACCCCTCACGCAAGATGAAGCAGCTCAGGACTTACCCTGCCTCCGACATCACTTTCAGCCCAAATCGCCCTGCCAATTTCGTTGAGCATTGTTGAAGATAGATAGGCGACCAGAGCCTCTGCTGCCAAGGAAGGCAGAGTGGATCCATCTGACAAGAAGGCACAGTGCCGGTGTCTCAGAATACTGTATTCGCTTCGCTTGCACCATGCGTGGCTTTGGTTTGATTATCTCGCACCTCGTACGCTGACCCCAACGCAGCCTCTCAACCCTACTCATCCGAGCAGGCGGAATCACCCGGAAGCACCTGGCAAAGAGGGTCTGTAGATTTTTCTCCTTCCGAGGCGCCATTTGGTTCCAGAAGCAGATGCGGAGCGAAGCCTTTCACGATCTGCAGGACCGATCTGCAAGTCTCCTTTGCGGATCTTCGGAGAAGACTTTGCTGAAGGGCTCAGCCAGGTTCAGCTCAAGACGAGCATGCGCGCCATGCTCATCTTGAACTCGGAGGAGGTTCTTACAGCCGCCCGCCTCAGCCTGCGGCCTGCGGCTCTCTCATGTGACAGCATGTGAATGCCCTACGGTGTTCACTGGCCTATCGTGACAGTGAGGCACTCAGAGCTTTGGTGGATGCCGCGAGCCCAGGAAGCCTGCTCTGACCACAGCCTTGCTGTTGAGCTACTGATCGGGAGAATACCAGAAAATCCGATGAGCTGAATCAAAATGCTCAACGCTAAGGAGCGAAACTTCCCAGTGGCCTTCGGCTGTATCGCAGGCAAGGACCGCACGGGCTGGGACCTTGTCCTCCGTACCTGCTGCTGCAGCTCTCCTGCATACCTCATCTTGATGAAAACGCCCCTTTGGGCTCCAAGGCCTTCTGGCATGTTTGGTGCTCCTCGCGCTGGGAGTCAGCGACGAGGACACGCCTTTCACGCATCTGAATTCTGAATGCCTGGCGTCACAACGAGATCTGCCAATCAGCTCACAGAAAGGGGTTGCTTTGGTCTCGCGGAGGCACATGGCACGGACCTCACCAAATCTACGCCCTTTCTTTGGGATGCATGGGCCCATTTCCACTGCGCCTGTCGATATAGACTCTCCGGACAAATCTAAAACCTGCCGGCCCCGTGGCGGTTTCGCAACTGTGGCTTTCCTGATGGCGTCGAAGATGCTTCACAGGTTTGTTGAAGACCATCCAAAAGCTTTGCTCCTCTACTTGGAGGGGCAGGGGACTTAGTAAGTCGTTCATAAGTAGGGTCATAGTTGGGTGAACTCCATTTAGGGTACTGATAACTCTACTTATAACCTAGTTACTAAGTCCTCTGCCCTTCCAAGTACGCAATCTACCCACCGCAGCTTCCTAAGTCGTGCTTCAAATCGAGATCACAGCTGATGCTGCCTCCAAATCTTGAGCTGCATCCATCACTCTTCCTGCATGTGAAAGAGTTTGATTTTCTAGGTCCAGAGTCTCCATGTCATCACAGCATGCCACTCGAATGGCTGAGCAGGACATCATCTCCGACTATATGTTCACCAATGAGGCAGCTGCAAGCGTGTCACGGAGTTCTTCTGGCCTTAGGGTGGGACGTGCTCTCAGGATGCACAGTTGCATGCAGACTCAGACAGCTGTCGTTTTCCCGCCAGCCGCGTGATCTTCGGAAGGTGAGGTTGGGTCTTAGGTCACATGCCCCGCCTGTGTCGCAGTCTGCGCAACACATCAACGCCTGCAATCAGATCGCAGTCGCCATGTGGTGTGAGGAGATGAGGGTGCAAAGGGGATGAGGTGCTGATGCTGCAGCATAACAGCGAAGGTTTGTTGATCTCACTGAATCACTGAATGATTGTGCGAAGTAAAGGCACGGTAGGCAATCAATCCCTCTTGCTGCCATCGTGTGGCATGATGGTACATGTAGTACGTAGGATTGGGAAACCAGCGCGTGCAGGAGCTGAGGATCCGTGATCCACGGAAATACAGCTTGCTGGTGCGAAGGCAGGGTCTGGGGTGGATATCTGAAGTTGCAAGACGACCTCCAGCACGGTGACTGCCGCAACACCACTGCCGGTGACTAGCCAGGACGCGACTCCCACCAAGCGTCCAGAACATCTTGGACAGCTGCGAGCTCAGCTCGGCAGAGAAGCCGCAACATTTCGCAAGTCCCTTGCATCAGCGACAATGGTTGATGGCATTGCCGTTGACCTTGCGAAGCTCTCAGCCTTAGCTCTTACCGACAGGGCCGTTGTGACAATTAGAGGCTGCTAAAAACTCGTATAAGTGTTTTCTTCACGTTGGGAAGTTTCGGGTCTAATGTAAGGCCCCTGGAAGGCATGCATATAATATAGATGCAGCAGCCGTTCTTGAGCATTCAGGTGACGGCGACACCCCACTCTGGGAGGACCTGTGTGTCGGTCTGCGGTAATTTGAGGAGAGCCTGTGCATGTGAGGGCGGTGGCTTCACGTTACACACTTCATCCACGATGAGCTGCAACATACTGCAGCCATCACTCCGCCGGTGGTGCCACACCGTTGCCGTCACGTCTTCCTCGCATGCCAACTGACAGAGATCAACACACACAGACAACACAATGCAACTGGACCCACGCAAGTGTCTGCCCTAGCCACACCAGCCTATCAAACCCTGCCGCTACTTTACACCCACAGATCACGCACCGTTCTTCCGGCCCAGGGTTCGCACCAACTGCTATTCCCCAACCGGCCTTAGCACCCGGCCCAGGCTTCACAAGGGCACAGCTACAGTATCAAATTTCAAACCTGGCATTTATGTCTGTGTGCATTCTGTGTGGGCTGAGGAGCTCGCTCCACCTAGCCGGAAGGAGCAACTGCACACTCTGCTCCCCAAGCCCAGCAAAAGGGGCAAGGGTAAAACAGGAAAGAAGCCGAACGCATCCAGAACGACTCCACCCTAGGAGCGATCCGCTGTTGTCAAAACGTTGTTTTCCCAAGCCCAACAACGATAAGGACGAAGCATGCAAGAAGCCGAAGGACGGACTACAAGCTTGGCAAGGGGAAATACTCCTGGCAGAGCCTGCCTGACTTTATAGGTCCTCGACGAGGGTTTGCCAAAGGCACACGCTGGGTAGGGCCTTAGCAGGTCAAAGGCCGACCCGCTGTCTGTCGAGGCGTGAAAAAGCGCCTGAATGATCGTTTTCCTCCAACAACGAACCAGCTGCACGCCAAATGCAGGTGTCTATTTGAGTCTATTTTTGTGCGTCGTGGCGAAATGTGGTGCGCATGTTCACTTTGGCAAGGGTGAGTGCAACTGCAGGACGTGAACATTGTCTCTGATCCTGATGCCATCAAACGATCAATGGTGCGGAGCTTTCCGCCAATCTTGAACAGGCAGCAAACGTGGCATGCATGAGATGGCCCAATCTCTTTTTGCCATGCTTACGTGTAAGATGAGGTGCACAGAGACATCATTGAGTACGTCATGCACGAAGTGTTGCAGCAGGACGGTGCATGGGTAATTATGTGGTTCGGAGGCAGTTCTTTCAGCATCATCAAGCTGCATCAGGGAGCTAGTTGCAAGCTCTTCTTCCAGAATTCTGACTGATACAAGCAGGCTTTGTCACGGTCCAGCCTAACTTAACAAGCTCGAGTTACAGACAGCAAGGAGTTCAGCGGAGTCGACGGCTACTTCAAGTACATCGGCTTTACCCCATCTGAAGTTGACAGGCTTCGAGCCACAGCTGCAGCTGAGTTTGGCATTCGCTCCTTTGTGAACTTTGTTTTGATAGAACTTAGAACTGACAAAAGCAACCTTTGAGTCGTAAGTGGAATTTCACGAACCCAGGCAAATCTCCCGTTGCAAAATTGTTGCAGCTGTTTGCGCACAAGCACACCTTCTCAACACTTGACGGCTGTACCCAAAGGAAAGCGTGACACGCTCTAAAAGTGGTTTGCTCAGGGCACAGCGGGTCAGCTGTGCATGTCTGCATCCAAAAGTTTGTGGCCGATCCACAACCTGATCGCGAGCGCTGCCACCGGGACGGCTCAGTCGAGGCTCGATCTCGGATCCGGCAGAGGTAAGTCTGCGCACACTGATGAAGAGAAACGGCCCAGTGGCTGTCAAGGCAGCTACGAGAAAGCAGGAAACAGCAAACGGAGCTCGCAAGCGCTTAGCAGACTTCGCTTCTGCAAACTTGTGCTCACAAGTCTGGTGCGGAAGCACAGGCCACAAACATCCGGACTCCTTGCACGTGTATGGGGTTGTTGTGCCTTTGTCTTCGTGTGTCTGTGATTGTTATGTTGGTGCACATCGTAACATATGATACCTTCCAAGGACTTGCCGCAGTCTGCCGATCGTTTTCTCAGTTCAGTTCAGCGAGGGCCCAACGAAGCTGAGTCCTTTGGACTTGGCCCATCTCAGGAGAATTGCTGGTCGAGCCTGCGGCAGAGAATGATCCGTGATGTAATTCAACAGTAACAAGGAGCTGCATCCAATGCTCTGCGAAGCCGGTGAGCATTAGGCGTTGGTTCTCGCTTCCGTCTGCCTGCATGCGGCCTCTGCAAGAGTCTGGCACGTCAGCTCGTGCCGTGCAAGGTGCGATGGGCAACTGTTGGACTAGATTGGACTAGTCAGTATCTGACTTACGGCTACCCACCGCCTGTGCGCAAGAGAGCGAGTCAGATGTGCAGCTTCAAGTTTCTCGTTTATGCAGGGGCAGAGGCCTTTCCGGCAAAGTGCCATGTCGGATTCCGCCGATGAAGACTACCTAGAAGCTACGAGTGGAATTGCCTCTGCCTCAGACGCCGTTTGAATATGTGGTCACATTCTCAACTTCAGCACTTTGAAGCAATTTGCAAAGGGATACTGAACCGAATACTGGCCAGCCTTGAATCTAACGTGTTCAGATTTTATACGTCTTATCAGGGGAGGCTGTGATCACACACTGCCATGACGAGGATGACAACAACCCAGTTGCAGTTGAAGTGGCGCAAGGAGGGCGGTCTGTAAAGTTGCCGTAGCCGATCATTTGGCGCACGCCTGCACGGTTGTTGTTGTCGTCTTCTCTTCTATTTAACGCTTAGGGCTTCTTATTGAAGCTGGATTCTGTGCGATGGCAAGGTTTTATGCCGCGCTTTGCCTTAGCAAAGATGCACAAGAGAAGGCATGCAGCACGTGTGTGGGCCCTCTGGAATGCCAGAAGCGTCGCCTAGCAAACCTAGCTTACAGGAGAGTCCATCGGATTTCGACCGAATGAGATAGCCACATAGCAGTATATGTCTGCCTCATCCTGATCGTTTCTGGAGGGCCTGCAATCCCGCCGACGCAGAAGATGACAGGTGAATCCATGCACCAGAAGACAGTGCAACCTCACACACTGCTGATATGCATCGATATCTGAGCCAAAGCCAGTCTAACGAAGCACACCCGACCTTTGCTTGGTCTATGACAAGCCCCTGCAGAGTCAAGTCAAGGCCAAGTGCAAATTTGCTTCACGAGACCTAAACATTTTGGGGGCCCAGGTCTTGCCTTATCAATGTAAAGACCAGCCGCCTGCTCACCTTGCATGGTGTTGATCCCTGAACATGTAACATGTAGATTCCCGACCACGGGTTCAGTCTTCATGCTGCAGGGCTAGAGTTTCAGTTCCTGAAACCTGAAACCCAGAGGCTCTAGGCTCTATATAAGTCCTCGAACTGGCTACTTCTGGTGCGCCTGTCCGTCGTGACTGCACGGCCTTTGACCATCTTTGACCGTTCCGCGACCGCTACCGAATCCCTGGAGGCAGGAGCAGGAATTGCCGGGGTGGTTTATTTTGTGTGGCTTGTTCTTGGCATAGTTTGGTCTTTTTGGTGTCAGTGTTGATTCTCCGATTCGTACGGTTATCGAAGTGTTTGTCGTTGTTATCAGTGTTGCCAGTTTTGTTTTTGTTCAAGCATGAGTAGGTGCTGCCAGTATGATTGTTTTTCCATTGCCATGTCCATGGTGAAGTCATGTTGTTCTTGCTTAATATTTTCCTCTTCACGTGCCACTTGTTCGCGTCGGAACGAGGAGTACGTATCACGCGGTAAGATTATACACGACAGTTCGTCAGCACCAGGACATCAGCCCTAAAGAGCGCTGCTGTTGCTCGTATCCTACTGTGCAGTATCGGCACAGTATCCTTTCGATTTGATAGTAGTACTATCAGTTTGTGTTCGGCCTGAATCAAGCTGTGTGCATTCTTGGCTCATCTTTGCACGCAGCTGCACTATGCTAGCGAGTCTTCTTCAATCTCTTCAAGTCGTCTTATGGCCACTCTGGTTGATTTAGTCCAATCGGCTTGATTCTCGGATTTCGGGCTCCTGGATTCTGGAGGCCAGGCTAAGAACAAGTTGAAAAATGTTGAAAGCATTCGGGTAGTAGGCTTTGTTTTGGGCGTCAGCCAGTCATGGGGATGCTGTGAACAGCTGGCTGGAACAAAAGGGCAGATGATCCACTTTACCTGGCAATGGTACTGTAGGGGTTGATGTTCAGCAGTACACTCAGTCAGTACACCAATGGAAACTGCTAGTTGCAAGAACAGTTACGTGCTTGATCGAAACTCGAGAGCAGCTGCGGAGGTCTAGCTTTCCTCCCCACCGCGGCAGACACCCGAAGTGGTCGCAGCTAATCCAAGAGGCGCGATGCCTAGCAGTAGCATTGATTGAAGGAATGAGCAGTCATGTATTGTCTGCATTGCCTCGTAGCAGCCAGCTGAGAAGAGTGTGAGCTGTCTGGCCGCGTAATGCTGCCTATTACTATCTGAAAGTCCCTTCAAATTTCTGTCCGCTGGCCAGGTGAGGTCTTCTCGCACTTCGTGGCATGTACGTAGCATTCAATTACTCGATGTCGGTTTGCAATGTGAGACTTGCTGGTAGAATGCGGCCCTCCGAAGCAAGTTCTCCTCTTCTTTTCCGTCTCTCTCCTCCTTCCTTGTCACCCTCTACAAGGGGGTCTACTGGCTGTCTTCAAAGCAACGCTCATGACAAACTGGCAGAGCCGTCCGCCAGCTGGGGTGAAAGAGAACGTGCCCAGCGTGAAGAAGCCGAAAGTCCATGTAATGGCCCACTTCACGTCTCATCTGTCAAGGTTTTTGCCCACAGCTGGTGGTGTATAGATCTTCTTTCAGAAGCTTTACAAGCAAAAAACAAAGAAGAGTGTGCTTCTTTGTCGACGAGGTGCGAAAGAGCAGACCTTCACACCCAAAGCGTGCTGTAGTGCTTGCATCAGCTTTCCATAGCGCTGTCAGCGCGTCCGCTCTTGGACACCTCAGCTCAAGGCGCGCTGAAGCATTGATTGCGCAGGTTTTACTGCAGCTCCGCTGCGTAGAGACAGTACGAGTTTAATCCCGAGAAAAACGAGCGCCGTGGCTGGTTCTACCAGATTTCATGCTGTGCAAGTCTGCTACGCGACGGCTTAATCGTCGTGCTTGACAAATTTGCCAGCGCAAGTTCTCCAAGAGATGAGGCTCAGCATAGACGTGCGGAAGTGCATCAATTCAATCACACACGACCCCTCGTTTTTCGCAAGGCTGTAGACAATCTGTCAGCTGCGCTACAGCTTCTGGCCCCCGACGCCAGCATGGGACCACGTGTGGACTCACGCCGAGTGCGCGCTGCCAACAACGTGCCAATCAAGGCGGGCTCTGGAGCTCCGACTCCAACATCTCCAACCTGCTTCTATATATCATACATGAGTATTTAGTTTCTTTTCTATTTGTGGGTCTAAGGGATCAATCCCAATCAGAAGAAAGCAACGTGGAGATCCGTCAGCTGGATGCAGGATGGCTCTGGGGGTGCTGTGCTTTACTGGATGTGCTCAACTGAGCCTTTGCTTGGTCACTTGCCGAAAGGCTGACGTCTTGCCAAGTTTATTTGCATGGCCGAGCGATCACTGCAAGGTCCAGGGATCAGCGGGCTCACGACAACTGGGCCCTCCTGAAGGCTCAGGAGCTTCCTTCGGGTGCCGGGATGTTCTTCCACAGTTCTTCCATCATTTCTAGTCTATCTTCTTCTCATGCCCTGGCACTGGAAGAGAAAAGCACAGCGAAGAAGCAGCGTAGGCCACCACACCCGTATTGACGGAAGCCTTTACCTTTGCATATTGTCATCGCAGCGGCAGCACCATCGTTGCACGGATGAGCGCGGATTATGCCTTTCCTGACAAGTCTCGTTGAGGATCTGGCTCTAGAGAGAAAGGCGCCGAACCCTCAGTGCTGAAATGACAAAGCTTCTAGGAGTTCAAGGTTTCAGTCTGAGCATGAAGGTCCCTTCTTGTCTGCTTCTGCCTGGTGCCGAAATTTCTGGATGCCACCCTTCGCCACTTTGACTTCATGCTGCAGGGACTGGCTTGGAGCTCAGCTTCGGAGTTGTATGGAGCGGCACAGGCGGCCCACAGACCCCCCTTTCACAGGTCTTGGCAGGACGTAATGGATGCACCATTTCTGGAGTCTGCATCATCCTTGCGTCTCGTGGTTTGCTGTCGGGTGCATGCAGAGGCGGAGACATGCAAGGACCTTCAGAGTTTGAACATCGGCAGCGAGCTCAGGGTGGGCGGTGCATCAGCCCTGTCAATCTGCATGGTTTGCAAGATGATTTCGTGTTCAAAGCCTATCCACTGCGGCCGAGTCAATGTGATCTGTTCCAGGGTCAACGGACTTAAACGAGTTGGAGAATCTACCTCTTGCCCTGTGCTACTAGTGTGTGTGTGTGAGAAATTCAACCACTCCGCCTGAATGCTCTTATCTGCAAGGCTTTGTGCTGCTGAAGGCGTGGCTTCAGTGTGTTTTGCTGGTCGTGTGGAGAGTCCGTGCAGGGTAGGCACAGGTCGGGACGCCTGAGTCTCTGTGCCTTGGCCGCCTCAGGGCCAGAGCGTGGCGGAAGTCCCCAAGCTCGTGCGAAAGCTCCAGCAGATGGGAAAGAAAGGCTTGCAGATCGCTTCAGTTTTTGCTCTGCCGGAACGAAGTACCCCCAGCTTTTCCGACAAGCCATCTCGTTCAGGCGGCGTGCATGCTGTCGTCTGTGACACTTCGCCACTTCGAGTTCCACGTTCTTGGACGGCAGGCGACCCGAGCAGAGTTTCTTGGCGACACCGCTACGAGTCCGCTATATAGCACGACTGATGACGCGGATCGTGCATCAGCTGCACCATGCTACACCCCGGTTCGTGCTGCGCACGCTGCACATAGCGCGGGAAGTTTCGTTGGGGCAGTGAGCACATAAGAGTAGGGTAGCAGAGCACAGTAATCTTTTTGGCGACAGGGGTCGCGAACGCGCTGCAGAACATGAAGGTGCCGTTGCTGCAGGCAGGGCAGCGCATTCGAATGGTTGTCAGGCTCGATGGCTAAGTGCAAACCATGCCAGGTGGATGCCCATAATGTGGTGCCAATTTGGGAGGCTGGCATTTCAGATTTTTGTTGACACCGCCATGGGCCATCTTCTCAACGTCGTCCATATTTCCGACTGCCCTCTGACTGCTGAGGCTTCTGAAAAGCAGGAGACCGGTGCACGCACCCTGCGGCCAAAGATCACCAAACGGCTGAAGGCAACTTGGCAGTTGTAGATGGCCGTTCGTGACGCGATCGAATCCTTAAACGAGGAGTTTCTCGTGGATTTCCCTCCCTTGCGCAGGTGCCAACCTTAGAGTTCCTTGCAAGGGCAGCATGGTTTTTAAGAATCAGGGCTTTTGCAAAGACTGCCCTTGATCGACTTCCGTCGTGTACAACTCTTCCTGGAGCAGCAGCACGTGGCATTTGTTTTCACGGCGTAGATGCATCACCAATCTAGACCACTCCTTGCTTGAGGTGCAGCGGGATGGGCACCTTTAACCTATGACCCACCGATAGAACTATCATAACTGGCCCGGCCAAAGCGACACATGCGCATCTTCAGAGGCAACGTTACCACTGTCGCAACGGGGTTCGTCACGTTTACAGTAATAGCGCTTGTGGTTGCTCGACGATACAACCTGCTTGAACATTGCTGGCTTGCACCCCACCGCATGAAGCGCACCAATGTCGAACTTTGGCACTTGACTGAGTCTGGCACGGCCACTCGACAGAGTGCTGGCCTGCTCGGTAGTCGACGTGACCACAACTGTCTTTGTGGCTCTGTGGGCCTGACAAAAATCTGGGCATGCGCTGAGAACGAATTCCAGAAGTGCTGTTCCCATGGCTCGCAACGCATCCGCATCGCCATCAGCGACCTACAGTACTGAGTGTTTCGTCAAGATGGCACGCCTACCGCACTCGACATTGGCATGGGTATCGTTGCGAAGGCAAGCGCAAGCACGTGTTCTACAATTTCTTCCTTGTTCCAGAATGCAAGATGCTTACAAAATCTCAAGAGGCTCAACTTGTCCGTGCCGACTGCTGGGACCTGGACCCTGTGCAGCTCGTCTTCGAGGACGAAGAGCTCTTCGTCCTGGAAAGAAGCAGCCCGGATGACACAGAGACGGACACAACCACAACGGATGTAGTTATACAAACAAGATGCGGCACTTCCATGTGGCGCTTGTCGTGGATTTCCTAGCAGTCAGTGACCTTCTTGCAGGGTCACAAGATGCAGATACGTCGAGCACGACACTTGCGAGCTGCGCGGAATCATCAATGCAGAGCACATCTTTGGACGGTGTCGACACCACTACCACAACGGGAGAGGATTCCAGCAGTACTGAAGAGGTCCCTGGCGAGAACGGCATCACCTGTGAAAGTGATTCGAGCTCTTCGTGCATCGAGTTGGAAGGAACGGGAGCTGGCATCCAACATCTTCTAGCCGTACAGCCAAAAAGTGTTCCACAGCGGACTCGCTTCCTTCTCAAGCAAAATGCTCGGCTCTCAGTGGGCACTTCTCGGAACGCGCAGCGGTTCCCCGCAAAAGTGTCCGGGGATCGATCATGCTGGGATGACGCTGTCGAAGATGTTCTGAGGCATGCCGGTCAACACAAAGTCAGTCGCACATTTTGCATCTTGGACATTGAGAGATGGCACCGCATGCTCATGCAGTCCTCAGATCCATCCCGCGCAGGGGTGCAGCGAACGGTCACTGGAGCACGCTGCGGCGGCCGGCGCTTTGTGCCGGGACCGCATGTTGAAAGTGCGCTAAGCAATTTCGTACGCAAGTCTTGGGACATCATGCAGCGTCGCGACATCTCTGCCTGTGGTAAGGCAGCATGGTGCTGCTATCATCTTGTTCGAATCCATCCCTTCAGTGACGGCAACGGAAGACTCGGACGTTTGCTCGCGCTTTGGGCTCTGCGTGTATCTGGCTTTCCGCTGCTTGTTCAGCTTTGCGCGGCTGGCACGGACCGAGCGGTTTTCATCGAAGCGTTCCGAGCTGCTGACAAGAATCATGGAAGCACGCTGCTGCTGGCAGCTCTGATAGAAAAGAAATGTGAGTTGGCAGCAAAAATGTGGCACCGGGTGGGGCCATCGGACCACGACACGACGAGTACTACCCCGGAGGAGTCTGATGCTGCAGACACGTCCAGCACAACACCGTCACGCTCCGTCGACACCACTACCACCACGGAAGAGGCTGACGAGGTCGATGATGCAGACACGTCCAGCACAACTTCGACAACTACAGCATAGTCATAGTCAATGTAGAGCAGGTCCTTCGGCCAGCGACGGCACGAAGCAACCACGGCCGGCCTGACAATCATGTGATTAGTTTTCTGTGGGGACACCGGGATACCACCCACGGAAGAGGATAATCGCTCCCGAACTCAAAGATCTCATGCAGTCGCCCTAGACTGCAGGGATGAACGTACTATCAGCTTGTCGTCAAACTGAGAAAACACCACTTCGAGAAAGCCGCACCACAGTCGTTGGCCAAGTGCGCGTGCCCTGGTCTGTGAGGTCTCGCAGTAGAAGGAAATTGTCCTTTCCAGATCTTGGATGCTACCCAGCGCTACCTGAGCCACCCCATTCGATCATCGCTGCGAGTGGCGTGATTGGTCTGGACCGGACGCCTGGGGGTACGGCTTTCTTGGCAGCATCAGGTGCAAAAGGCCCGCAAGGAAAGACATATCTCCGTGTGCACATCGTTCAATTGCCAAGACGCTCAGTGTACCGACTCTGCGCAGCCAGCGTTGGTGTCGTCATTTACGACATCTCCCTACAGCCGAGGCTCTTCAATGTAGGCCCCAGGCCCCAACTGGAGGGTGTGGGTTTGCAAGGACCCCGTGCTCTGAGGCATCCTGTCGCCCCGCTGCTGGGGAAGAAGGGAGGCCAGTGCGGCTTTTCTGCGGGAAGATGGTGCATTAAATCACGGCAAGTCGGAGTCTACAGTCTACATACAAGCATGCCATATACCACATGGATCATAGTAAAGCAGGTCCAGTACCAGACAATGCAACACAGCATAAAATCTCTTGGACGCATGAGGCGAACCCATGAGAACCCCTAAGCTTGCTGTTATGTTTTGAACTTGGCGTGCTTTCCTGCTCCAGTGTGAGTACTATGTCGTTCAAACGGAGGTCGCACAGTAGGGCGGAAGCTTACGACGGAGGCTGCTGGTTTAGCCTGTGCGGATGTGTCGCTGAGAGCGATTGCCATAACGAAGATCTACCAGCTCTCACTGTTTAGTTGGAACCGGGGTTTGTGAAAATTCCCAGAGCTGTGGTGTATTGTACAACTGTATTTCCCAGAGTTTACCCGACAGGTGTTTGCTAGAACTCTGGGCTGGGGTCTCTTCGCCGGGCCATGATTCTACCACCCATCGATGGCGGTGTCCGTGCCGCACCCGCGCAGCCGCGCAGCGACAAACGGTGCGGCAGTCAGTCAGGGGTGTTGGGTTTGTGGCAGTCCGGCGATTTCATGAACCCAGAAATTTTTAAGCATCAGAGTTGATGAATTCCCATCTGTTGTTTCGTTCATCGCCTAACACCTTCGGGGCTCAGGAGGCCCTCCGAGCCAGAGAGGTCCACCTCGTTGAAGGCTGGGACGTTTCAGCGAGTTTGTGCGGCATGGCTGCTGCGTTTCTTTCAAACGGTTTAAACTACTGGTAGCATGATCGAGCATCATATGGGTACACGCGGGAGGCCGTGCAGTTGAAGAGTCAAATCAAGGCGGGCTGGGACCTAGTGTGGACATGGTCATGGGTGATGGCAGCCTTCGGATGTTGTAGCCCTCACTTAGCGGCTTGAGCTTAAGTCACGCAAGCGATCTGATATTGCAACTGCAGTTGACTAGGAGGGCCGTCGGCACAGCCGGTTTGGATCTGTTGATGTTCAGCGCCCTGAGGCCAAATTTCACGAGCTTGACGTCAACAAGGCAGGCCTTCAACACGTCTGCAGTCGGCCAGTACCCAAAAAATCCTACCCAGTGCAGATGACGAGATTTGCCTCGTGCTGCAAGTGTGGCCATAGAACAGTTGAACCGGCTTAACCCAGTACGACTAAGCTGTAACGCCACAATGCCGGAAGAAACAGCGGGAAGCCAGGATGGCTGCTTGTCGTTCGAGGAGCTGACTGTGCAGCTCGGCTGTCGAGCACGCATAGCAAGCCACACGAGCCTTCCAAAGAAATTGACTACATTCAGGTTCCTGGGATGTTTGTCGACCAAGCTCACAGAAAAGGAAGTGCGCGAGATCTTCAGGAGCTCGTGCTGCTTCAGAGCTACTTTCATGAAGGTGTCAATTGCCCACTGTTTTGCAGGACCATGGATCGAAACAGCATCCTGGCTAGAAGTTGTAGTTGCAGCAAGAATGGGCTAGGCTGTCTTGTGCTCTGTGCTTCCTTCGCGGCGCAAAGCTCTTCGCGGCGCAAAGCTCAGTCAAACGACAGAGACCTCAAGCCAACAGAATCGTCATGGCGGCCGTGCAGAACCCCGGACCCCGCGTCTATGGGCGAGCAGGTTTATCAGGACGCCCCGGGGGTCTCTCGCCGCCACCATAATGATGGTCCCGGTCTGCCGGCCATGCCAACTCGCCGACTCAGATTTCCGCCGATGCGCCCACTCAACCGATGCCCACTCATAGCTGCAGCGCCTGGACCCGTCTGCCACCTTCCATGCGGTGACCCACGTTCAAACCAGTGCCACTCACAACCGCCCTACAACTTTCCCCAGAAGCACGATCGGTTGTGTGATATCTCCACCCAAGAAGATGGCGGGAAGCTGAAGGGGAATGAAAAATCGGGAACGGCTTCAACTACTGGAGATACGACTCATATTCGTCTTCACGGAGCCGCAAATCAGCCACGCTTGCCCTAATCTGCTGCAGCAAGAGAATCACCCGCATGAGCATTTTGTGCATGATAAGACCATCCCTGCCGCATCTGTTCTTGATTGTTCTTGAAGCGGCAAGAGGGATGGACAAATCTTCCCCCTCACGGCATGAGTTTGCCGCGCGAGCCGGCTTCGACGAGAGACGAGGGGAGGTGGAGTGACAAAGCCGCCCCCGAACGGAATTTCTGCGAGCGACGAACGGCCTGCCGTTTGCCTGGAAACCAGTGCAGGGCAGACTGGACTCGCCTTTGTACCAAGCCCCAGGTCAGGAGGTTGGGAAAGCTTGCTTGTCCTGGTTTTGCAAGCCATCTCAGGAGACGAGAAGGTTCAGTTCGATGAGCACCATGGTGATATCCAGCCATACGGATTTCTGATCATGCCTGTTGATCTGTCACGGGCTGGGTCTGAGACTGTGCGTGCATCTTTTGGTGGATCAAGGTTCGTTGATTTCATCTTCAGCAGTGAGATGGACAAGAACCCACGCTTGCTTGCAGATGTGGAGGCTGCCCGTGCAAAGCTTGGGTTGTCTGTGGTTGTTGTGTTTGTGGTGGTTGGCGTCGTGCTTGTCCTGTCGTCGGCGTCCTCGGGGTTGTGGTTGTGATTGAATGTGGTTGTAATTGCGGTTGTGGTGGCGGGGGTGGTGGTGGTTGTACTACTACTACTACTACTACTACTACTACTACTACTACTACTACTACTACTACTACTACTACTACTACTACTAAACTACTACTAAACTACTACTAAACTACTACTAAACTACTACTAAACTACTACTACTACTACTACTACTACTACTACTACTACTACTACTACTTCTACTACTACTACTACTGCTACTACTACTACTACTACTACTACTATTACTACTACTTCTACTACTACTACTACTACTACTACTACTACTACTGCTACTACCACTACTACTACTCCTACTTATACTACTACTACTACTACTACTACTACTACTACTACTACTACTACTGCTACTGCTACTGCTACTGCTACTGCTACTACTGCTACTACTGCTACTACTGCTATTACTGCTACTACTGCTACTGCTGCTACTACTGCTACTACTGCTACTACTGCTACTACTGCTACTGCTACTGCTACTACTACTACTACTACTACTACTACTACTACTACTACTACAACTTCTACTCCTGCTACTACTGCTGCTACACCTACTACCTACCACCTACCACCTACAACCTACCACCTGCTACATACATGCTCGTAATACGTACTGCATGCTACATGCCACATACTACAGATCGCATACCGCATACTACATACTGCTAACTACTTCTACTGCCACCACTACTGCTACTGCTGTCGCCGGTCTTCCCACATGGCTCCACAAGTGCTGCTACCTACTTCAGTATCAAGGAAACTCTGAAGAGTGCACTGATGAGACCCGGAGTTGATCTGTCAGAATGCTCCTCGCCTGTCATGGTTTGGTTCTTCGGAACGGTGACAGGGCTGAGTATCTTCTCTTGAGGCAACCAAAGGTTGTGTGCACAAGGCACCGGGATGAACCGGACCTTTCAAGGCTTGTTCCAGACTCCACCCCGACGCTTGGTGGATCGGACGTCCGCTGCGATCGAAGCTCGAAGCTGCGACTGCGACCGCTACCGCTACTACTACTATTATTGTTACTGTTAGTACTACTACTACTACTACTACTACTACTACTACTACTACTACTACTACTACTACTACTACTACTACTACTACTACTTCTACTACTACTAGTACTACTACTACTACTACTACTACTACTACTACTACTACTGCTACTACTGCTACTACTGCTACTACTACTACTACTACCACCACCACTACACGTTGTTGTAGTAGTTATCAGTCAGTTGTGTTTGTTTGCCTGTTATGCTCGGCCTCCGCCCAGGCAGCCGCGAAGCGCAGCACGAACAATGTGGCGCGTGTGGAGTCGACTGCAGCCCGACAGCGGATGATCGTTTAAGATCAAGGAGTAGTCGAGTTTTCTGTGTTACCAAAGGGTGCTGAAAGCCTCCTCTAGATGTGCTCGTGCAGACGCATTGAACTGGCAGCAGCATCTTTGATTGCAGAAGGCAGCCCGCGAGAGAGCTGTGGCAACCTCAGCTGCAGCCTTGCAGTGTGCAGCCTTGGGCCTGAAGCCCGTGCTTGCCCGTAGTCTTGCTCGTGGCGATTTGAAGGAGCGCCTACATGCGGAGAAGGCAGGTCGTGATCGTCTTGGGCGTCTGGAAGGGCGCTATGCCTTCCGCTGCTGCAGCAGCAGAGCAGAGGAGATTCATCAAGAAGGGTATTGTAGCCTCCAACACTGACAGGCCAGTCACCAGTCTAAGTATTAAGAAGAGCAAGCCGCAGGGTGTCTGCTTTGTGCACAACCCATGCCAGAAGCTCCTCAGTCATCTGTTCTGCCTGCCAGCCATGTGACGGGGTTGAACGAAAAGATGCGATCAGAAAGCGAGCCTAAGGTTGGCAGGGGGACGCTGATGAGGCGCACTGAATCTTACGGAACCTGCTGATGCAAGTCTCGAATGTGGACAGATCTCACGGTCCTGTACTCCGATATCACTACGCAACAAGCACGACTGCTAAACAGGGTCACAGGTCTTTTACAGATGCTTTGGCAGGCAGAGTCCTTCGAGCTGATCCTCCGTGAGTCCGGAAAGTTCGAAAGCATCTCGGGCTTGAACAGGTCTTGCACCTGTAGTAGCCGCTTTTGGCTCGGCCACCGCTCGGTTCACTCGGATACACGAGGGCAGCATGCGCATCTGCGCATCCGGCGGCACTTAGCCTCAGTCGAGCTTCACGAGTTCCCAACCCCAAAGTGCGTGCTGCATGTCGTGTCGCAACGTTCGTTGGTGCAGGCATTTTCGGCGACAGTAGCCGCTCGCTTGTGCGTTCAGCCCATGAAGGCATGTACTTCTCGCAGCTCGGGGCGGGAATGACGGACAAGGAGAATCACAGTGGTGCTTGGGAAGCACCTTGGAATGAAATCAGCTATGGTAAGCTTTCAGCCTCAGTTTGAACATAAGCACCCATATCGAGGATTGGAAGCTTGGGTGTGTCGGACGTGTAGACGTGCAAGTGCAGTACTAGTTTTTCCAGCTCTGCTAGGAAGTGTCACTGGGCGGCACTAAGACGGACTATTGCTCACGCCCTCCGGCAGTTGCAGGTCTCAGCCACAGAACGCGAGATCTTGCTCTACAAAGAGGCTTGGCAAACTGGACAAGTCTGTCACTCTGTCCGTGGCCTCGCTGCCATGTCTTCCTGCACGTATGGTGCCATGATCCGCCACAGGGACGTGGTGAGTCAAGGAGCCACCTTCCACTTGAAAGACCCCAGTGTCTCGCACGTTGGCTGTCAGCTTAACTGTCCGCAGCTGTCAGGGTGGTGGCCCCGTCGAGCGCTGGGCTTTGGATGCGCATGGCGCCTGGCCTGCACAAAGCATGATAAGGTTCTAAAGTCTTAATTTCAGGCTATTCTTGTGGAGAGGCCTGCGAGAGAACCAAGGTGATCTCGATGCCGGAAAAGACTTTGCTCTGCATCTTGGCGGGTTGGAGCAGGTTCTGAACCGGGCCAAGTTGCCATAAACTGTCACGGCTGGTGCAGTACTGCACGGTGGGTAGCCTAATGCCAGCAGAATCAGTACTGGTCGTGGATACTCCGCCGCAGCCTTCTTGCCGACTGTTTCGGTACAGTTTTCTGTCCCTGTCTGTTTTCTCCTACTCAGACCAAACATCGGCATTTACGGGATTTTCTGCAGTTTGCGTGTACCTTCCTTTACTTCTGGTACCTATTTTGTTTGTGTCATATGAGAGCCCAGAACGTATTCTGCTTTCGATTCTGCGTTGCTAGTCTACCGATGACTTCTCGATACTGCGGCCAATCAACAAGGCCCATCTCATCGAAGAAAGACGCCAGAAAGCTGATCAATATTCTTCAAGAAACACGCGTTCCGTCTCATTGAACAAACCTCCTCCATCAGAGAGAAGCAGAAGAAGAAAGCTCCTTCAGTAGCCAGCACTACCAAAGCTTCTACACAACGTATCACATCAGACAAGTGATGCCTACCTTCTATCATGAGATCACGACAACTTAGAAAACAAGCTCTACCATTGAATTTAAATGCATCCGGTCATGATTAGAACTTTGCACGTTGACCTTCTTGCGTTTTACATGACGATTGAAACAGGTGCTCTTCTGTTCATATCACGAAACACAACAAGGTGCTGCTATCTTCCAATCAGAAGCCAGTACAGATGACCTTTTTTCTTCTCATAAGAAACATGGCAGCAGATCTAGCTATTCAAGAGACAGAGCTTCTCGTTCATTGCAACAACTTGAGGGGGCCACTTTGCCCTATGCTACTAGCCGCTACTAGCACACAAATATTTGAGCTCCTACCACCCTTTAACACAGCATGAAGCACATGGAGCTGGGAATCTACAGCCGATCAGTGTTGCACCAAACTTGGTCAACTTGCCAAGCTTGCCCAGCTTGGTGGGAGCAAGATAATCTGAAGATAATGCACAATCTTGGTATTCTTGAAATCTTGGTCGTCCAGCGGTTCCAAGATTGCCGCTCAATGTTGCCAAACTTATAAACAGTTGCAATCTTGAAAAGTGGTTTCTGCTGCTGGGTTTAGGGCATTAGGGCTATGGGGTTTAGGGTTTTGGGTGGGGCTTAGCGTTTAGGGTTTTCGATGGGGACTTCCAAAAATCATGATTACAAGATTTTGTGCTACCTACGGAACCACCGCCACGATGATGGGCGAGCCTGTACGCCAATCTTGCCGAGCAAGCTTGCGTCCCCTCCTCTCAAAAAAATGAAAAGCAAGATGGGCAAGGTCGAACGCCAATCTTGCCCTAAGATCGGCTCTAAATCCCCGGCACACAGACTAGTACAACTAGTACTACTGGTCCTACTAGTGCTAGTACACGGATTTGTACTAGTACTACATCGCCCCAACGACTACCATTCCCACACCACCACCACCACCACCACCACCACCACCACCACCACCACCACCACCACCACCACCAGCACCAACAGAGGTACTGTCACCGTGACTACAACGACGGTACAACGACTGAATCGGCTGGAACACATCCCTGCTGCTACTGCTACCAAGAGAAGATGGTCACTGCTTGAATCAATAATCAACGTTTCTTCTTGGTGTTCTCAGGATGTGGGTTTAGACCAGCAGAGCCTGAGGTCGAAACAGCGCATGGTCCTGCGGTCAGATGACGACTGTCTAGCATGACCACGGCACCTTAGTTGAGGCATGCTGGGGGCCTTTTGTCCATTTGCGCACAGAAAGTTGCAGATCGTGACATGGCACACCATGGCGCTGGAAAGACCTGGTTTTTGTTCTTGCTAGATCACATGAATGACCTAAGCAACTTTCGGTGAGGAATCGCTTGGGCCATTGTTGGACGATTGTAGGATTGCTGAATTGTAGTCGGGTCTTCGAGTCTTTCAATTTTAACAAGGCTCCTGATGGCGAAGGTCTTGTTCTGGAGCCCATCAATCCGGACTTCCTAGCCCATCCAAGCGGTTGCGGTGCGGGGAGTGGCGAAATGTTGTAGACAGTAATGTGCTGCTGCTGCTGACGATGATGATGGTGATGATGCGGATAACGCGAATCACAGCTTCATGTTGATAAATTGCACTGGTTATGTTGATGGCGATGATGATCATGATGATGATGATGATGATGATGATTATGATCGTTCACTTTGTTGGCGATGATGACCCCGATTGTGGTGATGGCGATGCTGTTGACGATCGTGTCAGTGCGTAGGATTATGTTCGTGTTGCTCATACTTATCATGGTCATTATCGCCGTGGTTGTTAATGTGGTTGTGGTGGTGCTGGGGCTGGCGCTGGGCTGGGGCTGGGGCTGGGCTGGGGCTGGTGTTGGGCTGGGGCTGGGGCTGGGCTGGGACTGGTGCTGGTGCGGGTGCGGGTGCGGGTGCTGGTGCTGGTGTGGTTGTGGTTGTGGTTGTGGTTGTGGTTGTTGTTGTTGTTGTTGTTGTTGTTGTTGTTGTTGTTGTCGTCTTTGCTGGTGCTGGTGCTGGTGTTGTCGTCGTTGTCGTCGTCGTCGTTGTCGTTCTTCTTGTTCCTTTTGTTTTGACTTCTTGTCGATCTTGCCGTCGCAATGGTCGTCGGCGTCGTAGTCGTTGTCGTCTCCGCTCTTCTTCTTGGTCGTTATGATCTTGATACGATTTTGCTTTGAGCACCATAGTTCCTGGTAGTTCGCCTTATGCCTGGACTGACTAGAGCAAGTATGGGATTGGACAATGTATTCAAAAGCCGCTCTCCATGGTACCCTTTGCATGGCCAAGCAATCGCTGAATTTGAGTGGGTGTGGCAAGCCCGCCAGCGGCCGTGGGAAGATTTGCAATGATGGTGCAGATACCATTAAGAGGAGCCAGCACGGTACCGACGTGTACCTAAATTTATTCAGACTCCTTCTATGCGCAGCGGACTGATAGGACAGGCTTTTCCAAAAACAGAGTTGTGAGACAGCCCAGCCCGACGAGTTGCATCAGCTTTGATTGGTTTCAAGTTCGGTTAGCCCAGTTTCGAATGACATGATCTTATATCAGATGTAATCCTCTATCTTCCCGCCATTTGTGTGCTTCTCTTTGTGCTAGCGCCGGCTCCCGCTGCAAAGCAGCTGTCCTGAGATCGATACCGTAGCCGGTTCAGCTACAGGGCAATTCGTCACCTCGCATGAGATGTGAGGCGTTCACCAATTGCTCTGATTTGCTCTGCGGATTTCGTGTGATCACGAGGCTAAGCTTTGTGGTCTGCTCCGGGAGACTTCTTACTCTCAGTGCTACCCGCTACCGTTTCAAAGAAGCTTCAAGGCAAAGCTGAGAATTGTCCTCTCAGGCGAGGTTGCACTGGAGTGGCAGGCCGAGTTCCGTCAAAATGAGGCCAACTCAGACTAAAAGCGAGCGACTTGCATCGAACTTTGCCACAGACTTTTTCGAAGAGCTGCCGCTGGAGGCTTCGATGTTGCGGCGGCGCTGAAGTCGCTGCAGGTGGACCGCACCGTGGGCCCCGTGAGCAAGGTGGGAGTGGGATGAGTTGTATGAAACACCCGAAATCTGTCCCGGGCAGACTTGTCTGTTGCGAAACGACGCAGATTCCACGAAATTTAATTGCTCACACTTCGTGTTTTACTGAAGCGTCTGGGTAGCTTCCTCCGCCCTGTCCTGCTGGAGGAGCTCTTCACCCCTGGAGCTGCAGCGGGCAAGCGGCGCCTCGAGGATTCCATTCGACGCAAGGGTCGGTTGAACACGTCATGTCAGGGGAAGCTGCGAAGCAACTGGCGTTCCAAGCCGCAGACAGCTCTGCTGACAGCCCGCGAAGGGTTCTTCGAGAGAGTCTTGCTTGTGTGTTGGCGGACCACGACTGTCCAAGAGCTGGCAAGTCACATCAATGCGGGGCTTTCTGCTATGTCGCATCTTCCATGCTTAGACTTAGGCCCTATAGGGGGGGGGTCGACGGAAAATCCCCGGCATTGCAAGAATCTGTGCTCGGATCTGCTGTGTCAGCGAGGAGTTTGTGCGAAAGCGCCTTACCATATTCGGAAAGCAGCGCAATGATCCCACGAAGCAGGCGGGCATGGTACTGGCTGGCGCAAACTGCAAAGCCCCTCCAGATGTGAAGGTCTAGAGAGCCTTCTGGAGTTAAGCTGCTTGAATATCGTATACCGATGTGACGAACACAGTAACAGCCGTCGAGCTCGATCGGAACCTCCTCGCAGTACAACTGCTGATTTAGGTTCTTGAAAGGTCCGTTCGTGTGCTGGTCAGAGGCACTATCTGGACTTTCTCCATGGATTAAGCCTGATGCTAAGCTCTGCGAGCATGCCTTCGAGACATGTTCTCTCGCCAGCCATCTCTTGGGCTACCGGTATTACGGGACTCCGAATGTCTGAGGATCCTGCAAAAGTTGCAGTCACGAAGTGCAGACTCGCCTTCGTAGCTGCCCCAAGGTTTGGCCAGATATCCGCGCAGCGCTGCGCTCTGGTCGTCAAGAAGGCTCCGAGAAAGGGCAGTGCTGTTGCGATGCATTGCGGTATTCAGACGTATCATCCGTTTAGGTTGATCTTGACATGTCTGGGATTGCTACTGGTAGTACGTAAGTATCGACGCCCTTACACAGAAGGGACGATCTGGTCTGAAAAGTGTTTGTTGCTATGTACTGATGTCCGTACACCGTACTGTATCGGAATAATCAGTGGCATAATGATGGTGTCAGCAATAGACATATTCCCCCACTTTAGTACACTGATTGTCATAGTTATAGTCAGAAACAGAAAGCAAGCAGGTAGAACCCCCCCCCCCCCCACATGCCGCACAGGCCGCCAAAGGTGCGTCCAAGGCTGGTGCCGACGACTTTCTCGAGGAGGCAACCATCATTCATGTAAATAGCTAGAAGCATCTCAAGGTTCGAGCTCGGACACCTTGTAGCCTGCTCTCACTCAGTCTTCCGCTTTCAGCAGAGTCTAATATATAAGGCACTTTTACGACATAGATCCTAAATAGATGGATCCACATCTGCTGTGTGTATTTGCTTACTGAACATTGGCCAGTCCATTGTGCGGCGCGAGCTCGCCGACAACTTCTGCTGGTACAACCAGAACTATGACTCCCTGAAGGACAGGTGTCGAAGCAAAGGAAGACATGTAGGGACTTGCGCGGATGACTTCAGCATTTCGGTAGCCAGTTTCGGCAAGCCATGGAATGAGCTGCTGCGGCAGCAGCAGACCTTGTCTTGGGGTATGCATTCAGGTAGCCGGTCCCTAGTATCAAGCACGGCAAAAGACTGCCTGCCCTGAAGGGTGCTTCGGCCTGGGCAGTCATGCCGGCGAAGTCTTGCCGTTGTGCTGCGATGCTCGGCTTTCGGATAAGCCTGTTGTCGATGCCTTCCGAGCTCTGGCATGCTGGCGAAGCACCAAGGTAGAACGATGCTCGGACTATACCAGAACACGGTGTTTCAGACTCCCGGAAGATTGAAGTTGCAAAGCACTCGAGTGGCCAGGTCGAGACGCTCAAAAAGCACAGCAAGGACCGCCGCATCCGTCGGGGCTTTTCCCTGCGAGTCTTGTCCAGGCAGCGGGCATTCAGTGAGCTCAAGAAGTGTTTTTTGTACGATCAATTCGTGGATCCGCTCTGGCTGCACATGCTGAACCTAAGCCTAAGAGTCAGAAGCGGAGTAGCGACGTCAGGACAAGCGGGAGTACGTCTACAGCAGGCTACAGCTGGAGAAGGCAGGCAGGACTCAAGGATGGTTGGCAGTTGGCAGGCCGCAAGAGCATGATGCTGCAAAGATGCGTCGCCTCGCATGAAGGCCCAGACACACGACGAGCTTTGGAATGCGTCGTGTCCTCGGACCCGGCTCCTGTGCTTCCTCGACGGAGGCGCCCCACCCCTCAGGCCCAAAGCCTCTTCTACATTCTAGCTGCTGCAGTACAGCGCAACGAGCAGGCTTCATCAGTAGCTCCAAGCTCGCCATGACATGGGGGTGGAATGTGATTACCAAGGGCTCAACGCCAAATGGTTTCTGAGGGCCGCAAGCTCGGAGACTGTTCAGTCGACCAGCTGCTGACAAAATGCCTGAACATCCCTTCCAGAATCTCTAGAGCCTGGTAAACGTCATGGATTCGCTCGCTAGCACATGCACCTATCCCGCAATGAAGTTTCAGCCCTACGCCGTTCAAAAGAACTGTGCGACGCGTTGAAACACTTGTGGATGGCTGCTTCAGGTAAGATGCATGGCTTCCTCCGTATGTACTGGGCAAAGAAGGCCCAGTGCCGTGAAGCGATAGGTCCTCTTTTGTGTAGTTAGACTTAGAGTTGACTGGAGAATGAATCATCACTTCAGGACTCCGACCGGACGGCCGTTCCGTACATTCCGGGCTGAACTTGTGAGCTGCACGAGACAGGTATAGGCAGAGTGATCAGGTCTTGGAGTGGAGCAAGGACCCTGCCACAGCTTTGGCGACAGCCATTTACCTCAACGACCGCTACAATCTGGATGGGCTGACTCCTGAGTCTAATGTCTCCTTTTCCTTCACAACCGCAACTGATGCTCCCAAGACGCTTTTGCCTTGTTCCGAGGCGGGAGCCAAACGGGTATGTGGGCTGCATGTGGTCCATCTGTGGAGTGCTGGGGCCTTGGCTGTTGCGGATACTCTCTCGGATGTGATGTGCGTGAGTTTGGGAGGCATGACATGGGATGGCCGGAGCGCAAGATCTTTGGAAAGATTCGATACATGTGCCTGGCTTGCACTCTGGCTGCGAGTGTCCTGGACGTCTCCTGGGTCCAAAGTGTGAGTACTTTGCCATTCCCACGAACCCAGCTGTGTGCAGAACAAGTGCCTAATGGTAGCTGCCCAGCTGCATGAACTGCCTCTTGGCATGGTCCTGTGCTGAGGAACTACGAGGGTTGTAAGAGGAAGTTCAACGTCAAGGACCGCTGCTGCGCATGTTGATCAGATGCCGTGCCACGGCCTTCTGTTGAAAAATCCCGACAAGGAACCCGACAGGAAGTTAAGAGGCGTCAGGGGGTCGGTCCTTCACTATCGGCCCCCGGTGTGTTGAGTCCCTCCAACGATAGCAGGGCTGAAGTCCGGGGGTTACTACCATCGTACAACATGGAATCATGTCATGTCATGTCATGTCATATGACATGTCACAACACAACATTGTAAGATACTAGAATGTAGTGTAACTGGTTCGCATGGGTTAGCAATACGCCAGCTCATCAAAAGCACCTTCGACAAGCGTTTTCCGTGTTTCGGTTTCTGCACGTCGGGTGTTGATGAGCTTGTAGTCGTCGATCTTGCACCCTTACGGAAGAAGCTTGACCCTGATACTCTGAGGCTGCCTAGATTCCATCGCTTACCGGCTTACTGTAGCATGAGGCAGGTCTGACTGCCCTCTGAAGTCATCGGTGTTCCTTTGCGGGGCTCCGATGCCTGGCAGAAACAGAACGGAGATGGTGCATCCTCACACGACGTGGTTCGTCAGTCGGCCTCTTGTGGACAGGAGTTCGAGAACATGTACCCAGCACACGAGGCTTGGCAACTTTTGACATGAGATTCCGTCAGGGCGTTCTCGGCGGATGGCATGACAATCGCAGGTCCAGAACGGCTCCAAGAGGACGGGCGTTCGTTGCTGTCCTTGTCCGACTTGCAGTGTGACAGCTTGAGTGAACTCGGGATCTTGTGACGGAGGAAAGCCGGAGCTTCCATCCCCAGCAAGCGACAGAAGACAGCGTGAGGGCGTTGTTATCGGGCTCTTCAGCTTCCCGGCTGCCTGTAGCTACTCCAGCTGCCCCGAGCCCTTGTGGCCGCCTCTCACACAGCATCACAGTCGGCAGCTCGACTATGAAAAGTGGAACTAGAGAAAGCGGCAGAACAGCCTGCCGTGCCGCTCACATATATTCCGGGGGAAGAGTTCATCAACACTTTCCGCTCAAGAATTCTCAGCACTATGTTTCAAGGCCCTTGCACCGAAATTGCCGATGCTGTCTTTGGCTCAGAGATAGCGAACTGAACCGACTCGAAGCCCTGTTTCGGGGGAGGCTGGCAGGTTACTTTTCTTTTTGATTTCCAGTCGTCCAGATCTTGAGACAGAGCGTCGATGGACTATCGTGATTTGGTGCGTGATCTGTGTCTGTCGCAGGGCTCTTCACCCGAGACATTCCGATTTTAGGGCGTTTGCTCTGCCAGGGCCTGGGGCCCCAGAAGGCCATGCTCAAGGAGCCCATCACAGTCCATGTGCAATCTGCCTGTGCCTGGTAGCCATGAGAGTGCCACTGTGAGCTGCTTCGCTGATCTTTCCCCCTCTCGCGAGCTCCCCTCCGTTGGCTCTCAAACTCAATATCTCCCCCAGCATGTCGAGCAGGATGCACTGGGCATGGCCATTGCGAGCCTGGATGTGGAGAAGCCACAGGCTCCGAGGGGTTCCGCAGAAGATCATGTCTGCTAAGCCACTAAGCGCGCCATGTCCCATCAAGCGGGTCTCTTTCTTGGTCCTCGAGCTGAAAGGCCTCCTGGAATATGCGGGGCGCATGGCTGCTGCAGACTGCTTCCAGCAGCTGCGCTCCGGGAGAGGTGGAATGCTTTGGGGAGGTTGATCTCAAAGGTGTTACTTGTATGAGCCATTGAGGCATTCACACGTTCTCTACTACGGTAGCTGATGAATGCATTCCCTTGGCGGCACAGGCCTGCTACACAGACCAGCTGCGTCTGACATTCCTCCTCATCGCCGCTTGGCGGAGCTATATAATGAATCTAGGGCAACCTTTTGCAGCATCGACGTCAGCCGACTGCTTTCTCCGAGTTTCATTGATTCACACATTTTGAGCGTCCGACTATACTACGAATCGCATGACGGTCCTTTGCGCGGTGCCTTTCAGGTTTCTGCGAGTCATTCCACGCCTATCATCTTATGTACCTCATGGCTCATGATATTCCTTTGTGTCATGCTGATCCTCAGATGTGTGAGTCACAAGTACACGGACAAATAAATTGTGTGTACGCACACACACGCACACACATCAACACATGTCTGTAGCAATACTGACAATCATAATGGAAAGCAGTACCACTAGCAGTGGAAATAACAATGAGTATGAGGAAGAGTAAACGTAATACGAACAACAGTAACAGAGTAACAGACATTAAGAGTAAGGACAATATCAGCAATACCAAAAAGAGTAACACGTATAGACGGATGCACAAGGCACATCTGTCCGGCCATGTAATCACAAGACGCTTTTCAGATCAATATTAGGGATAGTAAAGCCCGCTAACCCGGGGTCCTTGTGATGTATGCTGTCACCAGGTACTGGTTGGCGCAATCGCTTCCATGCTCTGTGCTGCCGTCTCAGAACATTCAGAACAAGCAACGTCAAACTTGAGAAAAGGATCTTCGAACATGAGCAGGGTGCCTGGGCGCTTTCCTGCCCACATTTTATTTGGCATGCATGCTTCTCTCCTAGCTGCTAGCATACTTCTTTAAGTTGGAATGCATACTGCAGAAGTGCGGGTACTGCGTATATACGACCTGCGAAGCCACATGCACACGTTTGTCATTGTTGTCGCGTGCCCGATCTGTCGGTCGGTAGATTCATTTAGTGTCTGAGTGTTGGGGCGTCCTGTCATCAAAGCGGGGTACTGCACTGACTGGGAGGAAAGGCACCAAATACTTTGCAGGGTAGATTCGGAGCATCCGACAGACAGCTTCCGGCTTGGGCGGATTTGTGGAAGCTTGCTGCGTGCACGATCCCACTATCACATTCTATGTTGAGGCATTTGGATTCTTTCGCGAGGACAGTGCAAGTTTGTTCGACAAGTCATGTGGAAACGACACTCTGGCCAGCCACGCCTGAACTTTTCGCATGTGCTTGTTTGTCGTAAACTGCGCCGCTGTGTGCTGGCAGCAACAGGACAAAGACGAGCTGTTGACACCTCTGACACCGCAGGCCATACTTGACCCGTGTTGAAGCCGTTTGGCTGCTTTTGGCGCTGGGGCCTTGAGTCTTAGATCCGCGTGGAGAAGGGAGTTCCGTACTGCAGTAGCTCTCGGTTTCCATTCAACAACCATCAACAAGCTGTCTGTGCAGCTCGTGGTGAAGAAGGAGGAGCGCATGATTCTGCAGTTGCCTTTCGACACGAAGGCAGGCAAAGCTGCAGTTTGAGCTCCAGGGCCTCAGCAACATTAACTGTCGGCTTGGGACGGCGGGCGGCGTGGAACCAGCAGGAATCCAGAAAGCTGCAGACGGTAATGCAGGCGCCTTCAGGAATCCCAAACTGCAGCACGTGCCCTCAGATTTAGTTTGAATATGTCCAACTCACAAGTGATAGCAAGATCGTAACTTGAGCGGGAGGGCGACTAAGCGCGACAGGACACACCCCGAACGCAGGTTCTGAGTCAGGGAGAGGGTGAGGCAGAGGTTTCGAGGAGTGGGAGGCTGTAAGTAAACAGTTGAAGGTGGCAAGAGCACAGCAGACGCGAGTGAAGGCAACCTCCTGATCACCTGTCGTTTATTCTCACACTGATGGCCTTTTGGAGTGGCCGGCCCTCAAAACATCAATCAGCAATCGAGCAGGACCGGAAACAAGCCTCAGAAGGCATCGCAGTGCTTGTGTTTGACAGGAAGATAACTTCCTCGTGACCAAGGTGAACGGAGATATCTTTTGCCAGGCAGGGTGTAGCTGTAGACAGTTAAGTCAGTTCATCACTTCTGTCAGCCCTTGTTAGCACCGCGCGAAGTTGTGCTGGGCATGTTGCTCGGAGATGTGTAGGCTTTCCATCTCATCTGCTGAATGCTCACGCACCCGAAGCAGACAGGTGGAGTCGAAGTGGCCTGATCCATTTCGGGAAGGTGCGACTTGGTTGTTCGTCCTTTTGGTTCGGTGGGGTTGAACGGCTTCTTGCGTTCCGTACTTTGACGGTTCAATGCAGGCAGGGCGCAAACACTGAGATTTAGCATGCGGACAGATGTGCTGCAAGGAGACAAGGATATCCACGCGGACTAGTATGCAGCAACACATGAGCCGCAAATACATGTGTATATATATATATACTTACATATATATATATATATATATATATATAAAGATTTATAATATGTATACAGATGTATGCACATATTCATGTGCGTGCACAAGCATGATCAGCCTTCCACATTTGTTCTTGTCATATAACAGCAGTAGCTACTCGCATTCCTTATCTATTGCTTGCAGTGCGAAAGCATATTAGCAGCATCTAGGCATGTAGGACAGTACACAGTGACATGGGTCAAGGGGGTATGCGAAGCTGAACGCACCGAAGCACGCTGTAGTCTCGTATGTAAGCTGCGAAAGTAGAATCCATAGCTATGATGCTCAATATGCAAACAATGGTGCTAAAGCTTTGCCGGCATGATTCTACATATGTTAAACAGAAGCACCAGTCCATGCGGATGCACGGCAGCATATCGGGTACTCAGTGAAAATGTGACACCACGTCAGTGTCTGAAAGTGCATGGTTAGCTGTAGTCGTGTACAAAAGCAAACCACACCATTCACGTTGGATTGCAATGCAGGTTTTTATGCTACTAGTATGTACGTATGTGCGGATGAGGTTGTGCATACATCGTGTGCAATGAGAACATGCAAGCATTCATGCACGCACGTATGCCGTATGCGTGCAGTTTTTATGAGTGGGTCTGCTTGTGTGTAGGCGTGCAAACATATGGACGGCTGGAGGTATCAATGGCTGGATAGATGCATGCGGGGATTTATGGGTATACAAACACATATTATGTGCATTTTGTGTTTACTTATGCGTACAGTGACTACATGTAGGTGTGCATATGTATGTTTATACATGTACGTACGCATTTGTGCATAATGTGGCGGTCGGTTTAGTAGTAGGGTACCCCCCCCCCCCCCCTCCCCCGACCAAAAAGTTGCGGTCGGTTTAGTATGGAACCGGTAGC